ATGGTCGTTTCACTTTCTTCCTCCTTTTGCATCATGTTCTTGCTGCTCCATTGATTTGTTCATGGATGCCATAACTTTATCCTTTTGCTGCATCTAAAAACCGGTACTCTGCCAGTCCTGATAATACACATGGACTCACATTTGGATCTCTGTATGATTGGTGTTTTATTAGATGTTCAGATGCATGGTCTTGGCAGCACTGTTGGACACTATCATCTTGTATTGCTGTCACACATCGCATTGACCAAACAGTGAGCACAAGCCCATGCTCCGTGAACTCTTGGGGTAAGCACATGTAGCAATCGTCGAAGCAGTTTGATTGGTGCTTATATGTGATAAACATTGCAGTACTTCATAGTAGTACCATGTGTTAGGTACCCGATTCATTCATTTATAACTGAAAACAATCTTCAGGGTCTCAGAAAAACAATACTAAAGAAGAAGAAAATCAATACTGAAGGAATTAACCAGCAAAAGATGAGGATGATTACTGTGGGGGTTTACAGTATTGCACAATAATTTTCTGTCAAAAAGCTAAAGTTAGTGACAAAAGAAACTGAAGTAATTGAAAACCAAAGAAATTTAGGAGCCTCAACTAGTTATGTAGAAGTAGTACTACCTAGGAACATCGGCCAGATTTTTCCAAATTTATACACATCAAACAGAAAAGGGACAGACTGAATATGCAACCACAACAGAGACCATGACATAGTCTATAATGTCCTCTGCTCTTGAGAGGGATCGGAGCTACAAAATTAGTTTTCCTTTATGAAACGTAGATGTAGGCGTCAATAACAAAATGTGCTAAGATTTCATGATTATCCTAGTAGTACTTCTTCCTCACTAATAATCAACTAAGGCCAGGCATGTTATTTCGCAGACTAGATTAGTTCAGTAGAATTCATACTGCATAGTACATCACCTATTATTAATGGTCCCAAGTACATTAATGGTTACATAAAGATCGGGTGTAACTAGTAGAGAGGAAGATTAATTACACATCTTCTGTCAACTACTAAGGCTTCTTGTGTTATTTTGCAGACTAGATTAGTTCAGTAGAATTCCAATTAGACCAGGTACAACGTCTGTTGATGGTATCAAGTACATATGGGGATGAGTAGTAGTAGTTGGAACCGGTCAAGGGGAAATTGCTATTAGGACAAGCAGAGTATAGTAGGTGGTGATCAGGATGCCCAAAAGCATTTTGACAAGGCTAGCCTTCTGTATGACCAGGTAATGATGTTCTCAGGTCATTTCAAAGTTACAATATTAAACATGTCTTCAAGGTGATTTTGAAGCTTGTGTCATGGGTTCAATCTTGTGGCAGCAATAACAAAGTTCAATATGTTGGCTTATTGTGAACAAAACAATAGAGTTGTATATTCTCCTATTTTTGTTTTGGTGTTTGTTTACGCTGTTCCCGTCAACCTGCCAATATGATAGCCAACTTTCACTATAATCACAAGGAGTCTGCTTGCCATAATGTGTACATGTTATTTCTATGTTATTTTTCTGTCTTCTAACTCCTTGTTGCTAAAACAGTGACTCATGATAAAAATTAATCTAGTATAAGCAGAATCTACTTTTTGCTGCATTTTACTGCATCGTGGCACCGACATGATAGCTTTATTCCATTTCTGTTGTTGATCAACATGCTATCATTTGTACCTATTATTGCATTTTTGATAAAAGTCGAGTTTATTTTTAAAAAGGATCTCGCTGACTGATTTGTGTTCTCACCTAGGCTCATGAAAGGTATTTATCCTTGAAGAAACAAACAATGACAGACAAAGCAACTGCAGTTGAGGATGTAAGTTCCTTTATTTATTTCATATTATTGAACTTCTGTTAGAAGTCATGATCACTAACTAGCTCCACAATGCCAGATCATCATTTGAGCAAGCTCGTTTCAACCTGGTAGGTGTACTGCTTCCTTGTATCTCTATTCACTGTATCTCTATTTGAGCAAGCCAGATTTGGACGCTAACACGTACTAACAAGTTTTTACTTTCTCGACTTGGCCGCAGGGGTGATCGACACAAAGTATCGTAGCCCAGTGGGCGTCGTGCTCTTCAACCACTCAAAGGTGGACTTCACTGGGAAGCCCGGCGACCGCATCACACAGATGATCGCGACGCCGGAGGTCGCCGAGGTGGAGGACCTTGATGCCATCGTTCGGGAGGGAGGGAGGATTTGGGTCCATCGGCATCTGCACTCCGAGTCTTGGTAGATACATCTAGATAAGTGGTCTGGTTGTTTGTGTCTGATGTTAAATGGGATCTCGTGATCTCTTTGAGTTGAGATGTTCAATGTTTCATCCATGAATGTTGCAATTCCTAAGATGATTCTGTGAGCTTAGTTTATTTTGCACTGGACATGTCTTGGTTTCCATCCATGAATACCGCATATGACTTTTATTTTTTATTTTT